TTTTATAGATCTATTTACAATCAATAACATTTTTCCCTTTGGGTTGATTTACTAAGACCCAAGTCTTATTCTTAACCAATAAAAGCATTTCATCTTTCATGGTTGCAAGTCAAGAACTTGCATGTTTTCCCCCAATGGCCTCTTCATAAGAGTTGGGCTCATTGTCCAAATAATTTTGAACATTAAAGGCAGTAATAAATTCAGATTCATCATATCTTGATGGTGAAGTTATTTCCCTTCTTACTCTATCCCTAGTTAGATGATAATCTTCTAAGGGATTTTCAGGTTGATCGAGTTCAAGTCTAGTAAAAGATATGGGTTCAGTTTCAGGTTCATTAATTTGTTCTGACCAGGCTCTACCTCAAATTGATTATTATTTTCAGAATTTAAATCAACCTCAAAAAGTTCAAATTCCAGAAAAAAATTTATTTTGATTAGTTTCAGTGGTAGCACTTCATTTTTCTTTTGTGCGGGACATGTCCATCTCCTATTAATTTACTATAATGGAGGGTTTAAGATAGAATTCATTGGAAGTTGAGGGTTTACTTATATATCCTTGGAAGTTAAGGGACTTCCTTTTCAAAAAGCCCACTAACATGGCATTTTAAACCCATTTATCACTTGTTTCACACTCGCACAAGGCTGAAGTCCGAAACAAAGCCAGGAAATGGTGGAAAAAATAAGGAGGAAAGAAGAAGAAAAAGAGGGGAAAAAAGGGAAGAGGGAGGAGTAAGTGTTGATTTCCTTCATTTTAGGTTTTATTTATTTATTTCTTTAAGAGACAGTATAATTTATGTTTCATTTCCAGGGTTTTAACTTGGTTCGAAATTTCAAAATCTGAGGAAGGATTATGATTTCTAGTACAAGCTTCTTAATGGGTTAGCTTCCATTTGAATCAAGGTGGTGATGAAGAGATTGGAAAAGCTAACCGAACGTCATAGTCTGTAGTTTGTTCCAGTGAGTGGAGAACATATTTTTTCAAAAGAAAGATTTCTTTTAAATTTATAAGCTTATAATCATATGTATTTAATATTAATGTTGAAATGAT